TATGTACGTTATCCATTCATTGGAAGTTCTGACTTTGATCTTTCCCAATTCTTTGATAAAATATCTTTGAAATTTCAGATGCTATGTGGCAGCTTAGGAAAGATTTGTCAGTTAGAAAGGTATTTTACCACACATGAAGTATAGTATATAAAGAATAAAATACAAGCAGGCAGATAACTGTGCATCCATTTTTGGTTACTGAAGATGCAGAATTAACAATAATAGCAAAAAATGTGGAAAATGCTTCCTTGTCTTTCAGACTCCAAATCCACCATGCTGAATGGATTTTTATAGGGCATGTACTTGTTCATGACCTCTAGTGTTAAGAAATTCGGTCATGTTTGAAAACTGGTCCCTGGTGGAGCCTGTATCCCTGTTAATAGCTGAAAGGTCAATGGAGCTGCTAAACAGTTTGTATTACTGCCAGGGTGGCCATGAAAACACCACCTGCTGCAAGAGGACTTGGCAGCTGGGTCAACAGGCACTGTGGGAATTTATCAACTTAGGGGGCCACTTGCATAAAACTTGGGCTGATGAATTGGGACTAGACTGGCTTATTGGGCTAAAGCTGCTCTATTATGTATGACTTTCTTTACGATGAGAGAGCTGCCTGCCAGCTCCCTGAGACACATGCAAAGGATAAACAGAACCCATTTCCCCTTATGAAGTGATTGTTTTGGAGGAAAAAAAAAAATCAGTCCTGCAGCATCCAGCGTCAGAAGGAATAGGATGACGATATTAAGAAAGAATAAATAAAGGGTGTAAGTGGCACCTCGGAGGGGGAGGGCAGGCGTGGGGAAGGAGACGTGAGGGGCAGTTTTGATATTAGTCATGGAGGAGTTTGGAAATACCACATTTCTATAAAATGACCTCTCAAGCCTGGAATTTGCATTGTTAGTTTATTGACTCTTAAGGAAATGGTCTGCGGGACGTGATTGGGCAACAGATAAGCAACATGCTGAAATATAATAACAGTGGGTACAAAGTAAGTGAATCAGCATGGTTCAGAATCACTTTGCCTTACAGATTCCTGGAGAAATAAACCCTAGAAACATTTCAAAACTAAAAGAAAGAGAGAGAGAGAGAGAGAGAGAGAGAGAGAGAGAGAGAGAGAGAGAGAGAGAAAGCAAACGTCATTTGGTTTAGGTTCATCTGAAAAAAAAAATGTTGAAGGACCATCTGTTCATAATTGACAGAAAAAAAATGTGTTCAGTAGAAATAAAGCTTGGAAGTTACATAACTCTGTCAGAGTTCTTTAATTCCATCCTCCAGGACCATTTGATTAATTCTGAAAAGATTTAGTAAAGACCAAGAATCAATGATGAGACTTGGACATTTGAAAATTAGATATTAACTCCTCATTAAACCTGGATCTCTGGATCCCAATTTTGGAACTAAGAGAACCTCAAATGTTGAGAAATTACCTGAAAATAATTATAAAAATGAATGGAAAAAGCACCATTAATACTAAAAAGATTTATTTAATAGGTTTTAAATACATTATTCATCTCTTTGGGGCCTTCTGTGGAAATGTGGCAGGGAAAGAATGATCATCTATACTTTTTTGATGTCAACAGGGCACAGTAAGTGAAATGACATGGGCAGATCCCATCTGAGGAAGATTCAGAGAGCAGACAATTGACTCTGTCCTACTAGGACAGCCTTGCTCCTGACCAGTCCAGCAGGGCACTACTAAGTGGAACTAGAAGTAGTGCCCAGATTCTGTGCTCAGTATATGGAAACCTATTTGTCTATCAGGTCAGGGCATGCTGAACTCAGTACTACAGACATTTTGGAACCCTGGGAGCTGGGTGAGCCAGCCAGGTGACTGGAATTGACTTGATGATCCTACCTCCATTCTGTCATGAGATGTGACTGCTCCATCCCCAAGGATATCTCATAAGTGTGTTCAAAGTTCTGACATGAAGGCAAATTCATTCCTGTGCTGTTTTCTTACAGATAATTTTTTTTCCTTACGTTCTTTCTGAAGGCTAGGTAAGCCTGAGGGAAATATGGTTGTATTCTTTTATTTTTGAATTTTCTTTTTTGTTTCATAGTAAGTAATGACATTTGATGTTCACTGCAGGTTATCTCACCTTCCTTTTCTGGGAAGGCGGACCTACTGTAAATGACCTGAAGCTTATGTAAATGGTTAGGTAATTCACAGCCTTGGACCAAATTGTCCTTAACCGGTTGAAGTGGTAATTTTGGAATCTCCTCTGCTTTTGCCTCAATGACTCAAGAGATATTGCATATAATTTCTAAATTATCTCATTGTGTGTGTCTAGAAAAAACCATTAAAAAAGCATAAATCCTACAGTAAAAATGTAACTTCTTGAAATAAAAAAAATTATAATTTGGTATTTTTCTTTTCCAGGGCCACAAAAGCCATTGATGTTTGAAAGTTATTGTGAAAACATTATTCTTACAAGTTTGGGGGCTTCTCCACAAGAATACAATTAAGAGTTTAATTTGAGTTAGATTTTTACATAACAAGGAATGCCTTTATATTGTTCTCTTTTTAAAGTTGATGTTCTCTAAATTCTGCCTCAAAGGTTTTGAAAAAACAATTTTGCTGTGATGCTGACATCCTGAACACTTCTATGCTAGTAATTAGCTCATATTTCCAAAATAATCCTGTTCACATACTTAAGTGTCTGCTTATAAAGAACTTCAACTCATCTAGGGAGAAATACTATAATAATAAACGTTGGCGTCCAAATCGAAACAGCATGAGGCTCCCAACAAATGTTTATGAAAACATTAGTTTTCTTATAGTCGGTTGGATTTTAAAGTGTTCGCCTATGCCTGTGTCCAAGGACAGTGTCTTAGGGACTCTGTCACTTCCCCCACCTCCTGAAAAGCAAACACAGATCCTAACCCTGGCCCCACACATGACATGACTCACCAGAAACAGGCACCATAATGAGAAGTCAGGCTTTCAGGATGTCACTCTGAGACCACCCTACTAGAGGGGGCCCTAAGATCACAAGCCAAGGTCCCTTATGGCAACCCTGGTAATTAGACACTAATAATAGACTGAAGGTGTAAAATCCACCTCCACTCACCAACAGACTAAACAAACCAGATGAAGACAGATTTTTTTTTTTTTTCTGTGAGAAGGGAGACTTCATTACAATACGACCAGGAAGCTTGCAAAAAGCACATCGACTTTGACAACATAATGGAGCAACAATGAGTATTTTGGAACTAACTTCATTAGATCTGAGTGAAATCCCTACACCTCATTAAAAATCATTAGAAAGCTGCTATTTCATGAATTAACATTAGTTTAAATTTTATTCTTAATGTTGCCAATTTCAACAAGTACCTGGTCTGATAGTTTTTTCATTCATTTATTTGCTTTTCTTAAAGAGGACACTGGTTTCACACTCAAAGAGAAAAAAATAAAATCCCTACCATGTATGGATGGATAATTTTCCCATTGTGAAAGATAACGTGTACTTTCAAATAGGGAAAGCAATGCTATCAGCATGTGACATGTGATACTGGCCAGAGACCATTCAAAATGGGGCTTATTCTTTCTTTCTTTCTTTTTTTTTTTTTTCATTTTCTTCTTCTTTTTTTGGTACTGGAGATTTAACCCAGGGGCACTATACCCTCAGCCCTTTTTTTTTTTTTTTTTGAGTTAGGGTCTTACTAGGTTCCTGAAGCTGTCCTTGAACTTGTGATCCTCCTGTCTCAGCCTCTAGAACTGCTGGGATTACAGGCATGCACCACTGTACCTAGCTAAAATGGGTTATTCTTCTTTTTGTTCTGCAGTAGACAATGTCAACCTATATTTCCCCCCGGGAAAGAAAGGGCTTTATTGTATAAAAAGGAGAAGAGGACATGCGTTTTGTTAGTCAGTGGCTCTTTCAGGAAAACACACACAACTGACAATTTACAGATAGTAATTTAAAAACGGAACTACGTCAATGCCTTTGGTCAACTTTTCAAGGAATGCCTTTATATTGTTCTCTTTTTAAAGTTGATGTTCTCTAAATTCTGCCTCAAAGGTTTTGAAAAAACATTTTTTGCTGTGATGCTGACATCCTGAACACTACTATGCTAGTAATTAGCTCATATTTCCAAAATAATCCTGTTCACATACTTAAATCCTGTTCACAAACTTTTCAGATTATTAGAATTTATTCTCTTGAAAGAGACTTAAAATCCTACAAAATTCATGCAGGAGCAATCTGGTATTTGCAGCATCATTTTGTTAAAGAGTAAGAACTCTTAGGTCTTGCAATATAGTGAGTTTTTTCTAAACTTCTAACTAATGTCTATTTAACAGTTATAATTTTAGCAACTTCTGGTACTTTGGGTCTCATGCATGAAATTAACAACTGATTAATGATAATTTAAGCTGATGGGCAAGTTGTATGTTGAGATGGGAGAATGGGAAGGAGCAGGAGCAGGGTGAACATATTCTTTAAAGGTTTAAAACAGTCAACTCTACCCTTGGCTGAGGCCAATAACAAAGTGCTTCTTTGGTTTTCATTTGTTTGGTCACAGCCGTCTTCATGAGAGCCTTGAGCTCTCAGATAGTTTCGAAATGAGGCTCAGATGTGGAACTGCCAAAACAACTCATCCTGATGACCTAAGAAAAATCATACTAGCAGCTGCAACGTCTGCCAGCATGTTTCTCGTTTTCTCAAAAATAAGGGGTTTATTCCTTCCAACACCAGAGCCGAAGCCACTGCCTCACACGTCGAGTTCCTCCCCTGGCTTTTAACCGAGAACTCAGATTTCACAAATACAATGCTGGAGTGACAGGAGCATGAATGAGCCCTTAGAGTTCCGAGAGGTTAAGTGCAGCCCTGGAAGATGGGGTAGAGGGTCCTCTCGGGATGCCCTCAGCACATGGAATGGGTGAAGTGTTCATCCCAGCTGACTGCTTAAATACGACTCTTCCGCGCCTCATTTGAATGAGGTCAAATAACTGGAGGAAGACTCTTACCTGATTGATTGCAAAGAATAAAAAGAAACCTCACCTTTTTGGATCTACAATCTTGTAGAGTTTCCCGTTGTGAGTCTGGGTCATACTTTTACTGCTTGATAAAATGTAAACTTCACCTGTTGAGGAAAGAAATAACAGGAAGTTAATTCACAGCACTGCATGCATTTGTCTCTGTCTCTATCTGCATTCCTCTTCAGGAAGCTCCTTGGCCTAAAGATGACGACCGTGCGCCATCAATCTAACTTCAGGGCGCGTCCAGAGCACTCTGGACTCCGGTCACCTCTTTCCATATCCCATTAAGGCTCCAGGGCAAGCCCTTGCTCATCCCTCTCAGAGCAAAAGTGAGTCCTGACAGTGGCCTGTTTAGAGCCCCCCCGTTGCTGCCCCTGGTCCATCCTTCTCTAGCCTCTCTGGCCTCTTGGCTTTGAACATGTGAGGCAGGTTTGTCCCAAGCCTCCACTAGGGTCACCATCTCCCTTCCTTTGATTCGTGCTTAAGTATCACCATTTCTGACTGCAGTACTGAAAACTGTACTTCTTCAACTCCCAAGTACCCCTCTTGGCGCCTAGATTTTTCTTCAAAGCGCTTATTACCATTGACCTACAGTATATTTTTAAAAGATTGTAATTGTCCTCCTCATTTACAAGTTTTATGTTAGCAGAATTTTTTTTGTCTTGTATTTATTACTGTATCCCTTTAGAACAGAGTAGGTGCTCAATAAATACTTATGGAATGAGTGTTGAATGGATACGTTTTACTTAAACTTATCTTTTGCCCAAGATTGAAAGGTTTTGGTTACCAGGTTGTTACTGTTAATTTGAGCCGGATGGAATGAAGGTGCTCATTTTTAATCTTTAGCTTTTAAAAAGATATTAAACACTGAGGAGAGAGAGGGAGAGGAAGGGAGAAGGAGTGAGGGGGATATTGATATCATATGTCAATGTATAGAATGAGTCACATGAATAGAAATTAGAAACTGTATTTGTGATTATATGTCTATCAGGTTTTAAAATTTTCATTCTGTCCACACTATGAAATAGTGTTTGATGTATTCTGGAAGAAGATTCCATGTTTTTACTGGGCATATAACTACTTTTCTGTTTCTGAAAAGATGTCACAAGGTTTACGATAAAAATATAGACTCTTCAGAGAAAAATAAACATGAAATGGAAAAAGGACATAAGCAAAAGTCAAATACTTTATAAGTTTACCTCATTTAATCCTTACAACAAAGCCATCCTGACTTTATAGTTGAAGAAAGTAACACACCCCAAACACCAAACTCTCAAAACTTTTTGCTTCAAAAGGTGCAAAACCTTGCTCATTTTCTTGCATGGCTCTTGAATTAAAGCTAGAGAGTTCCAGCTAAGATGTATTTCATCAAAAGTATATTTGTTTATTTATTGCAGATTGTACCCAAGAACTCTTTACCACTGAGCCAGTCCTTTTTATTTTGGGGACAGGGTCTCACTAAACTGCTGAGGCTATCCTTGAACTTGCAATCCTCCTGCCTCAGCCTCCAGAGTCACTGGGATTTCAGGTGTGCACCACACTTGGCTTATTTATCTTAATTATGAAGTATATACAGGGTAGCAGAGTTAGGAGTGCATTCGCTTTATTTTTTTAGTTTTGCTCCCAATGCAACATACTCTTAAGTGTTCACAGATATTTGGGATATCTGAGCCAATAGCAATGATGCTAACGTGACTGATGTTGAGTACTTGTCCATGAAAATCAAAATGACTCAATCACAACATCTACACATTAATTTCTAACTCGGCCACAATTTAATTATTCTTAAAATCAAAGTTTGCCCATAAAATTTAAATTACATTACAGAAGACGTAAGCAAGAAAAAGTATCTGTGGGGTTTCTTTGAGTGGGGTAGGAGGATGTCAGGGAAAAATTGGTTGTAAAATGCTTTCACTTCTGGGACAAGAACAGATGGACTTCTTCCCTTTGAATCATTAGGTTCCCATGACTCTGAAATACTTTATGTGTTGCAGGAGTCTTGTCTGAGTTCCTTATTAATCTAAGTGAGTGGCATGGAACTATTTCTGATGAATCTTTTCACCTAATGTAAAAAGAAAATCAATCTGGACTTTTAGAGAAAGTGTTCTGATTGAAATAGGAAACAGGTACTCTTTCAGTGACTAGAAATTCATTTCTGAGGCTGATGAAACATAAGAGCCATGGTTTATTTGGATATTGTTCTTTAAAGGAAATAATAAAAGCTACCTTTATCCCTGTAATTTAAAATAGAAAGAGAGTAAAATTTTCACTGTCTGTTTGATCGCATTCCAATTTCAACTTCTTTTTGCTTCCTGGGTACAGTCTGCTAAGCTTGCCAAAAAAAAAAAAAAAGTCATTCTATGGATCATCAATAGGTAATTTCTATTCTATTGGAAAGAAAATGTACAAATCAGATACCATGCCCAAATGGGAAAAAAAAATTTTTAAGTTAAAATTAAAAAATAAAGGGTATAGGGAATTTCAGATTCCAACAAGTATTTATTTATATATTTATTTATTCCAAGTCACACAAGTAGATGGAAGGTTTTCAGATAGAAAATATAAACAGAGAAAATATCAGAAGACATTTAAATATTCTTGCTTTGGACCTCAAAAGCCTTTCTTGTCATGCCTCCTCTTTCCCTGTTTTATATTTTGAGAATGAAGATAAGGTATTTTTCCTCAGGGAAAAGTTACTAGAAAAGAAGACATAATGGGCCCATCTTTCATCTCCCCAGTGGATTTCATCCTCTGCTGTGGATGACATGTCCAGCACTGCAGGACAAGTCTGTTATTCTTTAGGACAGAACAAAGTATCTTGAGCAAGGAAGCGAGAATGGAACTTATTTGAAGTAATTCATACAGTACCTAATTCATCTTCTCCAAATCCCAAGATGTGACCGGAAAAGTAGCCTCGACAGGAGCCACTGGTGCCAAGACAGAGTGGTTTCTCTTGCCATTGCTTGGTCACTGGACTTTGCTGGAGAGTTAAGAAATTTCTAAAGCAAAAACATACCAGAAACCTACCATGAAAACGTGCTTTTGATTAAAGATGACAATAAAATGTTTCAATTAAAATTTGCAGTGAAGTGATTGTTGTGTCACGGACCTGGCTTCTCAAGGGAAGAATATATAGCCCCTTATCTGTGTGAGTACTGTGAAATTCCCATCCTCTGAGAAAGTGCTTAAAGATGATACTTTGGAGGGGACACTAAAAGTACCTGAGTATGAGAAAAAGCCCTCCCCTTCATCCAGAGAATGATACTTCCTCTCCAGGACTAGACTCCATGTTGTGCTATTGATCAGAGAGAGGGACAGGAGGAAGAGTGCGGGGTCAGTGTACTTTTCGGGTTCCTTAAAGCACCCAAGCATTTCAGCTCTGCCATGTGCCGGCATGTTAGAGACTTGGGGAACAAGATTCTTCAGGTGGATTTCATCAGTTTCTTAGAATTATCCACAATATGACTTCAAAAAATTCATGCTAAAATCTGATTTTATAATATTCCTACCCACAGAGACGAATCATGTTCTATTGCTCAAAGTCTTAAAAATTTAGAAAAAAAAATTTAGCCTTTTAAGATAGTTTAAAAAGTATTTTCAGGCTGGGGATATAGCTCAGTTGGTAGAGTGCTTGCCTTACATGCACAAGGCCCTGGGTTCTAATTCCCAGCATCACACACACACACACACACAAAATTCACAACTCATGCAAAACAACAGTTTTCAAATTATATACTTGGTAAATTTATGTTGAGGATGAAGGGAAAAGCCTAAATACTATGAAAAGTCCATCTGAAGACTTCACGGGCCCTTCAACATTTTATGAACTTAATCAAGGCTGTTGAAAAGCATCTCTGTAATATTCATGTGTGTCCCAGGTCTGACTCCCTAAGGCAAACAATCATTTGAATACTTTGTGGTGGTTTGACCAATTGACTGAAAGATGAATATGTCATTTGGTATATCAAATTGTGGTACCAGGAAACATACCCATTACGATCTCCAAAAACATAGCTTCCATACAGTCTTTCAGACTGGCAGCCTCTGTAAACGAATCCACCAACCAAAGGACCATTACTGAACGGCTTGAATTCTAAAAGCGATGGTTCACTTTCTGGAAAGAAATACAGCATTAGATCAAAAGAAACATATTTCCATCAAGAAAAAGGAAATATGCAGGCCAAGCAATGATTATTTCAGGAAATTGACTGAAATAAGTTACATGCTGCAAGAGATGAATCCTTGCTTTAGATATTTCGTGAAAATAATTAGTCTTATTTTAAATAACATCAAGATTTAAAAGATCTCTGTGTAAATTTTAATGAAATAAGAATACAGATTCTGGTTATTGTCATGAACACCAGGATATATCAAGTTTTCAATACAATTAGAATTTGGGTATTTTGGAAATTGTGGTTATTACTTTAAAATCAACGTACTTTAAAAAAAAAACAACTTAATTTTTAAGATAGTCAATGTTTTGGAAGAATACTTCCACTTATATTTAGTAAATCAAACCAGACCTCTGTCAAATTATATAAAATCTTTAAAAGTTCACACTTAACTGAAAATAAAAGCATAGTACATAAAAGATATTTAAAACCACATTTATTGTATATTTAAAAGCACTGTCACTTAGTCAACATCTTCACTTAAAATATTTTAAGAATTTCGTTTATAGAGTCGTGTGGTTAACAAAATTCACTCCAATAATTTCTTTGGAATTACGTGTGTATAGTCATGCATCTCAGTTTTGCCATGCTTGCTATTACTTACTTAAAATATATGTCTGGTAATTGCAATAGAAAAGTTCCAAAGCCAGTTGCAAATTAACCTGAAAATTGCTTTTTACGTCTTTAATATCAAATAAGTCACCATGAACAGGCAGTCTGTTATGCCAAAGCTTTTGTGGAATGTAATTTCAAAGCCCTCTGCTTGACTCATACCATTATAATGAATATGATGTTATGACAATTAGAAAAGGCTAGTTTTATATACTTAGCATCCTGAGATGCAGTGTAATTGACTGTGAATTCTACAGTCAGATTGCTTGGGTTCAAACCCACCCTTTCCCATTCTGGGTGGCAGGATAATTAACCTGTGCCTCAGTTTACTCATCCAAGAGAGATGTGGCCAATGACCATGCGGGTCACACAGAATTGTTCTACCGATAAGATGAATAAGGTTTATAAAGTGCTGACTACAGATCTGGCATGCAGTCAGCCCTGTGGACATGTTTTAAAATACAAAAATGTAGAGCTGTTGATACTGTAATTAGTTTTAGCTCAACCTCAATTAATGTAATTGTAGAATTTAATCTATGATATAGGCCAAATTCCACTGAGCAAGTGCTCACTAGATTTTTTTCCCCTAAGCCACATTATTCTTTGGTTTGGCTTTTATAAGATGCTCACATATACACAAACGGCCCCCCCCCCCAAAAAAAAAATAAAGTACAAGAACTGAGTACCATATGGACTAACACAGGTGTTTCATTCCAGGTGCTAAATAAATATCAGTATTGAATGAGTAAATAGAAGAAGAAATCATTTTAATAATCTTAATCTACTATGTTTTCTGAACCATACTGATATCTAATATACAGCCACCTTCAAAAGGAATCTATACTAAAATATTGAAAAATACTAAGTATTTTGGACTTCACAATTACCCAATTTTTTATTTTTATATGTTCTCTCTAAATATCCCAGTAATCATGTTATTAAAAATAATGTTTAAACACCCCATTCCCATGACTTGTTTTTACAAGTTGATTACTTTGTTTTCTCTAAAATAAACACCTTTTAAAAAATTACATTCTTATTTGAAGCACTTATAATTTTCCTAATTGCTGAAACTAGCACGTTGAGTATTGAGAAATTTCTTACCTTTAAGACTTTTTTTCCCTTGTGTATAAGATGTTAGGACAAGTTCTCCCTTATTATATTAAATAAGTTGAAGTTATTCATGTTGATTTGCAGATGAGCAAAGTAGAAGCCACTAAGTTTTGAAACCATTACATTATTTGGACCTACAGGGGAACTATTCAATCCGTGGGAATGGAATGGCAATCAGCTAAATAGAACCCTTAGGACTTGTGAGAGTCCCCAGATCTTTAAAACATGAGTGATTGACCTCCTCACCACTGTTTAGATCAGTGTTTTCAGGCCTGCTCAAAATCTCATTTTGCAGAAATCCTTTTCTCTTCAATTAATATACTAAAACCAAACTGGAAGGAAGACAAAAATCAACAAATATTATGTTCAACTTACCATAATCTTTCCCCTTTATTATCTGTAGGATTCTGGCTGACGATCTGTTTTTTCCATTGGAGTCTGAACAAAGTATTGTTAAATTGATGTTTATATCCATGGGATGTCGATCCACAGCGCATCTGCATAACGGAAGAGGTGGATACCCATTAATTCCTACCAAGGCATCTTCCAAGCTCAGACTGGAGACTCCCGACCTAGGAAGGAACCCTTTGTGGGCTGGACAGGATCCTATGAGCAATTTAGTTTGGATTTTCTAGAAACCAAAACGGCAACATCCTGGTGTGTTTTGTTTACTCTGCTGAAGCTTAATTACCTCTGGAGTCTATTTCTTAATTTCTCTCGGTATCTCCCTTCTTTAGGATTGTGTCCCCTGTCTTCAAACACTTGTTGGTCTGTTCTTGCGGGCCATCTGATGTACAATACATTGGCAAAGAACTATGAATAAAAGTCAGTGCTATCAACCACATCTGCACCACGCGATATCATCTTCGTTAGAGGGTTAGTTTTGGGTAGTATTAGTTCTGATGCTACATTCTAAAGCTCAGCATGGCTCTGCTCCAACAGAGGAAAACATGGATTCCAATGCCAGAGTGAAATAAAGTTGGTCCCCACAAGCACGAAGGACTTTTATGTCTGCTCTGTCTTCATGGTCTCGGCACCTCATCCGGGGTCCAGAAACCTCTGAGACTCCAGCCACGGACTTCAGCTCTAGGAGGGGCAGACATCACTTGCAGCTTCCTTATCACTAGATTCCTGTGACCTAGTTCAAAGCTGACGATGGAAGAGGGGCTCAGTATTTGTTGAATGTTTAAGTCAGTGAAGGAGTAAGCATAAAGAGTCTGGAGGAAGAATGAAGTTTAAATAATCAGTTCTCCAAAATGTGAAAAACAGGCTTGTATTGCTATTTAGGTTGCTCAAAAATTTGGGCCAGGTAATCTTTATTTTTTTTGGGGGGGGGGGGGCTGTCCTGCCAGTCAGAAATTGTTTGGCAGGATCCCTGGCCTCGATCCACTAAATGCCAGTAATGTCAGTTTACCCCCATCCCTATCCTACCCAGTTGTTAAAACCAAAAAAAAAAAAAAAAAAAAAAAAATGTTTCCAGGCATTGCCAAGGTCCCCTGGAGGCAAAATCATTCCATTGAGAATCACTGTGTTGGGCCAACAAAATACATTAATTACTTACAAACAAAACCAAACCACTGGGGCTATTAAATGAATTTTAAGAATTAAAAAAAAAAATGAGCGTAGAGTCTGGGCCTTAAAGACATGAGAGTTATGTAGCAATTATTTTTAAACAAAATAAAACAACAACTTTTTTGGCTCCAAATGATCCCATTCATGATAAGGAAACTGTTCGCCTGACCTGCCAAAGATGGGCTGGTTATTCTGAGGCAACAGTCCTTTTATTGTCCCCTTTTAATTCAGTGATTCACCGAAGACAATGCCTGGCAGGGATCATCGCACAGACATGCTGTGACTTAAGGTGGAACTAAACCCACATGGCATGAGAAAATTTTCCTGTATTACGGTTCTTTTGAAGATGGAGAAGCTATGCAAAAAGAGGTCTGACTTGTTTCCAACAAGAAACAGCAAATCTGGAAGAGAAGGCCAGTTCTCTCAGAGGTGGAATGGCTGGGGGCTGTGAGCTCTGGCTCCGGCTGCCACCAGGTCCACTGAGAACTGTGGGTACCCTTTACATTCAGTTTCTTACATAAAAGGGGCCAGACAGTGCAACTGCTCAATAGGATGCTACTACGGCGGCTACATGTCATTATCCATTTGTCCAAACCCAAATAGTACACCATCAACAGTGCTCCCTAATGCACTCCATGGGTGCTGGGTGATTTTGTTGTACCAATATCAGACCATCACTGGAACCCATGTCCCACTCCAGTGGGGTGTGATAATGGCAGAGGCTATATTTAAGAGGAGATGAGGTGCACAGGAAATGTCACTACCTTTTGCTCAATTTTGCTGTGAACTCACAAGTGCTCTGAAGGATAAGTCTATTAAAAAAGAGGGTTTTGGGGGTGCAGATGCTGGCTGCCTCTGGTCACTGCTGAGAGACATAAAGGAGATACTGTCTATGGGATACCTAGGTTAGCACCCTGCAGTCAGCTGCTTAATAACAGCGAGGTTTGCTTTTAGCCCATAATTTAGTTTCTTTTCAGCTTTATGAAACCTTTTTCAGCTTAAAATTCTCTTGGAGGGAGGTGGAATATAAACACTGACATTTCCTTCTGCGGCCCTCTGCCGCCAGAGGAGGTGGGACTCCACTGCGCAGGCATCTTGCCACACTTATGTTCTGGGAGGCACTTCATCCGTGTTTTCACACCGAGATTCAGGACCCCCAGGAAGATTGTAAGAAGGCTCCAGTGGGCTTGTGGTGACTCAGGCTGCTGGACTTCAAAGTGCTGCTTGGTGGTGGTATCTGTGAGTTCTGAGCCATCGGAATGGAATGTGACAGTTTCCCCCACATCCTGAACCCACCTTAAGTATTCCCTGTCGAACAGATTTTAAGATCTGCTGAGATGCCAAAAAGGAAATGAACTGTGGGCCTGGGCTTTGATGGAGGGGAGATGAAGGGCATGAGGGATTATGAAAATAAAAAATTTTGAGAAATATTCACCTTGCACATAGTGAACACTCAATAAACATTAAACAGAAATAATAACTCAGCTAATAAATGAACGAATGTGGCCAGATACCCCTTAGTAAGAATAATAGACTGCAGACCGGGTGGGGCTTTCGTCATGGAATTCTGTGTTATACTGAGGAGTACTTTTCAGGGTACCTAAAATATCTCACTCTATGCACTTCTTAGTTTTTGTTTCTTTTTGGTTTGTTAGTACAGCAAGCAGCCAATGAGTTCCTTTAGTATTTGTATTTTTTTTTTTCCACATAAAAAAAAAAGTTAACATTTAGTTCAACTCCTTGCAAATTAACTCTGCTCATCCTATGTTAAGGGGAAGTTATGGTAAGAACTATCAAGAGTGGTACTTTGTGCTTTACCTATAGATTTTTATTGAATCACAACAGCATCCTTACAACGTAGTTGTTATCACCCCCGTTTAATAGGTTAGAGCTGTGGTTTGACTGTGTCCTACCATGTTCATGTGCTGGACTCTTAATCCTCAGTGCAACCAACAGTGTTGAGTGGTGAGGTCTTTTTTGGAGGTGGGCATACCGGGGATTGAACTCAGGGGCACTCAACCACTGAGCCACATCCCCAGCCCTATTTTGTATTTTATTTAGAGACAGGGTCTCACTGAGTTGCTTAGCACCTTGATTTTGCTGAGGCTGGCTTTTGAACTCATGATCCTCCTGTCTTAGCTTCCCGAGCTGCTGGTATTACTGGCATGCACCACTTCTCCCAGTGAGGTCTGTACGAGGTGAGTGGGTGAATGATGTTATTGTGGGAGTGAGTTAGTTACACCAGGAGTGAGCTCTGATAAAAGGATGAGTTGGCCACCTCTGTCTCTGTCCCCTACCTCCCTTCCTCCTCCCTCTCTGGCCCTCTCTTCTCCACCATGTGATGACACAGCAGATGCTGAGCAAATGCCAGTACCATGCCCTTGGACTTTCCAGCCTCCAGAATAATGATCAAAATAACCTGTATTCTTTATAAATCACCCAATCAGTGGTATTCTGTTATAGCAGCACCAAACAGACGAAGACAATAAAGAAAATAAAATTTAGGCGGGTTTAAGGAAGCAAATCCAAAGGTTAATGATTGCTTAAAATTATTCAGATTGAAATCTACTAGTTCAAAAATGTTTAGCAAACAAAAATCCCCCCCAAATATGAGACAGATTTTCTCTATGAATTTGCCCTTTCCCTTGTCTAATCTGCTATCTCAATCTGCTTCACACATTAATAGAACAAAGAGGGCTGAAGACTTGCTCGGATAATGACCTGGTAAGATTTCCATCACAACATGGGGCACCACCCTCAGCAGTCTGTGATCTGACACCCTCTGCCTTTTCCCAGTTGCCAAATTCCAGCCCTGCTTTAAAGCAGCAGCGAAGACAGGTTTGCATTCTCACCTGCCTGGATCGTGGAGTCCGTGGGCAAACACTTCTGGGGGCTGGTTGGTGCTGTTGAAGTGCGGGTTGCTCCTTGGTATGGAATAAGGCACACTGCACACATCTGTGTCCACGTCCAGCCGTAGTACCGAGCCTGTGAAATCACTGAGAAATTGGAGGAGGGCATAAGTGCTTTCCTTTTGCCTAAACTAAACGTGGTGACATTGCTCTATGAATAAAAGAACCATCTGCTTATTCAAGACAACATTATTAAGGTTCCAAGTTCCATATGGTGGAAAATGAAAGGAGGGGCAGAGAAGGCACTGCTAAATGGGTTCAGATAAGGCACCACTCTAAGACATAGCTAGAAGGTGACCAAGGACTATGTGGGCATGCATGGCTGCTGACACCAGAGAGGGGTACCGCTCACTTCTCAGTGCTGGGTATTATAGGAGCAGTCCCCACAGCTCAGAAGTATGCAACATTATATCAATATTATATCAGCATGATATTGAATTCCTCTTCAGTTTACGAATGCTGACACTGACAACTAAAGTCATTTACCTAGGCAAGTGATGTGATTCAAAGATGGTTCTTTCTTTCTTTTTTTAATGGTACTGGGAATTGAACCCAGAGGTGCTTAACCACTGAGCTACATCTCCAGCCCTTTTTTAAAAAAATTTTATTTAATTTTTTAATTTTCAGTTGTAGTTGGACACAATACCTTTATTTATTTATTTATTTATATGTGGTGCTGAGGATGGAACCCAGGGCCTAGCACATGCTAGGTGAGCGCTCTACTGCTGAGCCACCACCCCAGCCCCTCCAGCCCTTTTTTATATTTTATTTAAGGATTCCTAACTCACTAGCTCAGACCCTTCCTTCGGCCAGGGCGAACATCTTAACACCAATGAGCACCTGTTCACTTTGACTTTTACCTCAACCCATCCATTTCTTCCATGTCGTCCAGCGTGATCATCCCGTCTCCGAGGATGATATACAGAAAGCCGTCAGGACCAAAGAGCAGTTGTCCTCCCAGATGCTTTCGGTGCAGCTCTGCGACTTCCAGAAACACTCTGGCTGTTCTCAAATCAACTTGATGGGGATTTTTCCTACATTGTGAGGAGAGGAAATACGGAGATTGTTAAAGATGAAAGGTGAATCTTCTACTAAAATGTTAAGAGTACACAAACAGAAATACAAACATCTCACACATAAATAAGGAAACATACGCTTGAATGGAGCTAATAAAAAAAAATCACCGAGAATGTCATTGATTTCTAAGTTTTAGAAGCTGTGCTGAAGCTGAAAGATAACCAAGAAAAATGACAGAGCTATCATTTTTCTCAATTTCTCTTAAATACATACACACATGGGATTTTAAGCAAGATGGAGATTTTTGCTTTAATTACTGCCACCTTTTGGCTAATTATTGGCAATTTCTAAACAAAAAGCTTATGAAAGGATGAAGAGAAAACAAGATTACAGAATCAGTATGCTCCGATGGATTTCAGCCATACCTGGACACTGTGTATTCCACGACTCTAAGAATGTGGTCATGAGGCCCGATAGCCCACCGTTCTTGGTTGGTGGTATAAGACACATACAGCTTTCCATTTTTCTTGTAATTGGGATGGAATGCAAGGCTTAGCAGTCCTCTTTCATCTCCTCCCTGCAGTCAAATGAAAAACACAAAGAATTGTGAAGTTAATTATGTCCTTTATAGTGTTTCAACTGGAACCCCCAAAAGAGTCTCTTTCTTTCTCCTGGATAATCTTTGCCCAACCTCTTTTCTTTTCTTCCTTGCCTTACTGCACAAAAAAGGATTATAAAACATTTCACTGCGTGGAACTCTTGAAGGGTTAGCACAAGACCATTGTCTTGTGTGGTTATCTACGCACAAGAGTCTTATACCACTTTTGTCCCATGATTTGTGTATGTAATCTCAGGGAGCTAGGACGACAAGTTTAAGCGCTGTGAAGAATTCTTTCCTGGGTTACTAGGTTGCTTGTTCATTCGTAGAAGACAAATAAAAGGTTCCTAATCAACAGTCACTTCTAATCCAAGTCTCCCAAACCTAAAACACAGTGTGGGCTGCCAACTCCCACTGTCTTGGCAATATGTTTAGAAAACAGTTAAATTGCTTGTGTAATATGTAAACCCCTGTTTCACCCCGAGGCATCTATATCAGTTGTCACAACGATGGTGGTCTATTCATCATAGCTAGGTAACAGGCAGCCGCAGCCTTGGCCTATCTATATAGAAATGAGGTATTTTTACATGCGTCTCTTCTCACACAAGGCTTTCTTTAAAGAAGGATGAGGAAGTGGGAGGAGAGCTAAAGGCCGGGGCTGGGGTAGGCATGGGAGAAATAGTAGAAAGGAAAGCGGACACTAGGAAATAAAAGAAAAATTCCAAACAACTTTCTTTCGTTATTATATGAATGTCAAGGATTGTATACATTAGGCAGGCCAAATGCTATGACAATTAAAACATTATCATGTTCTTAAATAGAAAGGCATTTTATCTTTATTTTCTGCTAATTTAGCTTGATGAAATTCAATATGGTCAAAAGCATTTGCTTTATCCCACAAGTAGTCTAGGAATTTCTACAGTGAAATCAAAGCATCTAAAATTATCTAGATCAGAGACTTAACTGTTGTTTTCTGGTAAACCGGTGAACGTTTTTCTCTGCAGTCTGATGAGTTACCCACAATGGTGAAAAACACGTCACAGAAACCGAACGCTCCAATGCCCATAACACATCACCTTAATTATTCCATTAAACATTACAACCTTCCCTACAGCAGAAAACTGATGTACCACCTCAGGCTGAGCATCCAGACTTTGAGAGGGTATAAATAGTAAAGTGGTTGGAAATATCCAAGAACTACCAAATTATTATTCAAAGGTCATCAAAGTTAAATGTTTTGACATCTCAGTGTCATGTGTAATTTTAGTTTCTAGGACGGCACTGATGATTTATGAATGAGCCCCTGGGTTCTGGATTATCTTGTGATGGTGGTTTTAATGTTGATGTGGCTGGTTTTTCTTTTTATATCTTTGTTAATACATATCTCCTGACTTTCTTAAGAGACTTTGGAAGCTGGGATGGATAGCTATGATTCAATCATACAGAAGCCCATCCATACTTAAAGCTTCTTGACGGATTGTATAAGGAGGCCCAGGGGTGGGATTTAGTTTGTGATTGATTCCTCTCCTGAATGTATTTCTCTTGAAACCCCTGAGTGCAGGTTAAGTGCGGCAAGCTTGCCTCAGTAGCATTTGTGTTCATTCTAAGAAGCTTTAGTTTCAAGGAGTTCTTTGTAGCTTTAATCAAATCATCAGACAGACAATTTAAACTGGATAGTGACATGGTTTAAAATGGTGCTTGTTGCTTTTCAGGAATTAGGAATGTATAACCAACGCACTGAAGGAGAAGAGACGGAAATGAGATTTTAAACGCACCTACAAGGGACGGTAGACAATTGTTCACTTTAGAAAGATGCCGATCACTTGAATGAATTTGGGGCCACCACTGACATTATAAAAGTGTCAAGCAGGGAAACAGAACGAGACAAGTGAATGACAGGAAAATAAATCAAAGACACAAATTGAAAACTATCAATAATTCTGAATTTTTCAGCTGATAAGATTAATATTGGATTGATTATCATATATGATCTCATAGTTTTAGTCTCCTTCCAAGTGTAAATGAGTAATCTGATTGGTTCAGAAACTTGACTACACTTAATTCATTTCAAAGAAAAACTCACTTTCATGATCATATGAATGAAAAATTAACATATTATGCAAATATCCCGGAAAGTATCTCAAAAACCACCTTTTAAAATTGTATAACAGGGCTCCAAAATGTTTAGAGATTAGGAAAGTTGGATATTTTTCTGCTGTGCCAGGAGATTAAAGTATTGATAGGCTCACCTTTCCCTTGAATTAGCCTTCAGAGTTGAGTTGTCTATTTCTTAAAAACAGCATACTATAGTGACACAGCCACATCAATGTTTATAGCAGCACAATTCACAATAGATAAACTATGGAATCAACCTAGGTGCCCTTCAACAGATGAACAGATAAAGAAAATGTAGTATATATACACAATGGAATATTACTCAGCATTAAAAAATGAACATAAAAATCATGGCATTTACAGGTAAATGGATGGAGTTGGAAAATATTATGCTAAGTGAAGTCAGCCAATCCCAAAAAAACAAATGTCAAATGTTTTCTCTGATATGAGTATGCTGATCCATCATGAGGATGCAGGGGGAGCATGGAAACAATAGAGGATGTTTAGATAGGGCAAAGGGAAGGGAGGAAAAGGGAGGGGGCGTGGGGGTAGGAAAGATGGTGGAGTGAGATGGATACATTACCCTAAGTCCATGTATGAAAACACAAATGGTGTGACTCTATTGTGTACCACCAGAGACATGAAAAATTGTGCTCTATATGTGTACTATGAATTGAAATGCATCCTGCCGTCATATATAACAAATTAGAATTAATAAATAAATTTTTTAAAAAAGAAAAAAAATGTGTTATTGACAAATCATGACTTAACTCTTAAATTGCAAACCTATCTTTGCATTCTGGATCATTTTTCAAGGTCTATATGGAGAAATATGTTGATTAGACATTGAGGGTTACTTTTGACCAAGGTCAATTAGAGCCCATATCATTAGTGACACCCCAGACATTTCAGGCCCCCAGGCGCTCCAAGGTTACTCCAACTCAAGTATCTAACAGGACATGGTCCCAGCCTGAGAGCCTGAACCCTGGCCCCTAGAGCCAGGACTGGCCAGTAGACAGGATCTCTGGGCTCCTGTTCCTCCTTCCTATTACCTTAGTTCCCTCTCTCACAGCTAATTGTGTTCACTGCTTTGTTTCGTTGGTCTGAGCTCCAAGCGCAAAGGCTCCCTTCTCTTTGCTGTTTCAAAATCTAAAAACAGCTTTAGAGGCTAAGCAGTAAGAATGATTCAAACCCTTGTGCCAATGTCACGGACTCCTCTGACTCCTTCCCATCCTTTCCCCTCACGATGGGTGGCTTTAGGGCTCAGAATTTATGCAATCAAAATCATGCATTCCATCCAGAAGTGTCAAATTAATGAACAGATTTTGGGGAGCAACTGGGGACAGTGAGCCTCTAATGATTATTTGAGTCAATCTGGCTAAAAAGGGAGAAAAACACATTATTAAAAGAATGGTAAATGGAAGATTTGGGGTCTGGGAGCCAGACCTTTCAAAACAAACAAACAAAAACAACCACTGATTTCTAATTATATTTCTAAGTACTGTTAACGAATGTCCAAAATGGTGGTCTTTATCCATGTGAAAAGTAGTGATTTTTCCAAAAATTCACATTGTACATTGGACTTCCTTCTTAACACAGGAACATTTTGAGTGCATGTTTTATTTAGAGGAATGTAAAGACAACACTGCTAGAACTTCACTGGAAGTCAATCAGACTGTAAATGGTACTTTAAACTCAGGACTGGAGCCTGACCCAAGTATCACACAGCACTGTGACCCTCCCCGTTGCTCAGTTCTCCAAATACTCCATCAACTCTGGACAGCTCACACCAAACCCAAATAACTGCTCAAAATTGGATTGTGAAATGATTTGGAAATCCTGTCCTGATGCACTTTGGAACCTTGAGATTGACGCATGTTTCAGAGTAAATCATAAACCCTTCTGAGGCACTTTTAGTAAGTCGCTCACAGTCTATTGTTCTAGTTGACAGCTGACTCCTAGGAGCAACTTTATGGGGTCCACAGCAAAGAGATAACTACCCAAAACAAAGAGTGTTTGAGGTCTGATCACTGATGACTTCAGTATAAATACGCCGGATCGGTGCCTGCAGTTTGGATCTGGTGAGCAGATCAAAGTTCTAACCGATCAACTAAGAAGGTTACTTCTCTTTGAATAATATGAAATATCTATTTGAAAAAGAGAGGCAATCACAAAAGGATTATAACAGAGAACATTATTTTTATTCTTTTTTTTTTTGAGAAAAACTGTGGGGCATTAGTCTTGCATTAATGATATTATTATTTTTTTTAAATAAAACATTCCCTTCATACTTTCAACACAGTTAAAGTTCATTCCTTCTGATTTCTGGTTTTTCTTACAGATGCCTTATTCTTTTTCAGGGAAAGCTGACTTGTGTATTCAGGACTGGGTGGCACCTCACTGAAGCTGCAAGCACCCTTACTCGTTTTCACAGTTTCCCTTAGTGACCTTGGCAAATGACCGACTGGTTTCAAGTTCTGCCTTAATTTCACTGCAGCCTTCATTCCCTTTGCCATCTAGGGTAAGATATTTGCAGGTTCTAGGAGTTAGGACAAGAATCTCATCTGGGTAGGGACATGACTCTGCCTACCATGTGGTTATTTCAACCTGTCTTTAAAAGAGGATCCTAAGCATGTATAACTTAAGCCTCCTTGGCCAAGGCCTCATAGTCTGCTAAATGGCCCAACAGTATTGAGAAAGCAATAAAAAGGAAATAATGCATGCTGTGATCAAAAAGTTACTTATTACCACCTTGTTAAAACTTTTGTTATTTAACATTTATTCAACATATATTTAATTGAACACCTACTAAGGGTCAGGCTTGCGTGGCACTAGGGATAAGACAACCAATTAGAATAAATCTC